GTTGAAAAGAAATTGGTTTTTTAGTTTTCTTTCCAGTGTCTGTCTTTTCATACAAGTTAGCAATTTCAATATCCTATTCAATTTCGACAAAATTAAGCACTTAATAAATAGCAATTAAGGAAAAAGAAAAAGCCCTACATGTCATCTTTTGAAAAAAAAATTAAAAAAAGAAAGAACTGAGAAAGTTATTGTCAGAACACATGCATCCACTTACATACAAATGAATTACACCTGAATGATCAGATTTCACCTAACATACAGGGAAATAAGCAAAACATCTGTAAATACTACAGCCTAGGAAAAGGTTTCAACAGAAATAACCATCAGTGCCCCACCCAATCTCTCCAGATGAGGTTTTGGGCTGCTGGAAATACAGCAAGTTTGTACACTCTCTTCCAAAATTTGTATCCTGTCTAGCCTCTTTTTTTGTTGAAAAAAAATTAACCGATACTAGATGTCCTAGGAAGTACAAAAACCCAATTTGCATGTATGCAATACACACCAGAAACACTTGTAAGACTGTATGTATTGTCATCTAAATGAATTTTTATAGTTAGCAAATACATATATACATGCCCATACAGTCATTGCATCATGTCACCCAGATCCAGTAGGAATTCTACTGTGTTATACTAAATAAAAATCAGCTGAGGTTACCTTTGAGACTGAATTATCACTACAAAAATAAAGTTTCATATAAAAGCCATGAATTTCCATATGCTCAATGTCTACAGTCTCTTGACTGGAGTAATAGTAAATGATGTGGCTGGTTCAGTTCAAGCCAGTGCAGCTGGAGGGCTGTTGCTATATATAATCAAGCTATCTCTGACCTTACAAGCCATTCCATCAACTGCAGAATATCACCATCACCTTTGAGAACTGCTCCCCATCAAGGCCAGATTACAATAAAAGCAGTGTAAGCCTAGTTTGCTGATTCATAGAGTGATTTCATTAGATCTGAGCCCAAACTGCTGCTTACAAGATGAAGGAAATAAAATACAGTGCAACTACAGTGCAGAGATGAAATATTTTAACTTCAATAGATGAGCCAAGTGTAAAGAAAGCAGTAATATCAGACTACTTGACTCAGAAGCTTGCTGGACCACATCAGAAATCTGTTTGGTCAGGAAAATCCTTCTGGGGGATTCAGTCAACTTCTGCCTTAAGAGAAATCTCTAAAACAGAAGCGTTATCCTCTTGCTTTGTGTCCAACAAGCACACTGACTGCTGAGTGAACACTGTTTTTGTACAAGCACACACTCCTCACAGAGGACATGCTTAGGAGTTTAGCAAAGGATGCTGCTTCTGAGCAATGAGGTCTAGCACAGAGGGAGAAGAGCCATGTTATCCCATAAACAAAAGAAGAAAAATTTTATTTGCCCAGAATAACAGGTGTTTCTTTATATTTTTAGGCCAATCAACATCACAACACCCTGCTATTAGTAAGACCAGTTTCAATTCATCATTAACCTGGCTTTCTCACAGTAGAACTGGAAAGGATCCAGGAAGATAGAGACTTATTACTGAGCACTTACATTACCTGAAAGCATCATATAGTACAGAAGGTGTCCTTAATTGCTTACATGTCTTTAAAAAAAGTAGTAAGACACACAAAATGTATACATTCTACAGGAAAATATGTTCCCACATTACCCACTGCACTGCTAAATTCTGCTGTCTTCCAAATTACTAGGTAACACTATCTTTGTGCTTAGTTATTATAATTTTCTAAAACGTACTTTGTGTTTAAAGAAATAGATGAAGGAGAAGGAAGGGAAAAGAGAAAAGGCTGTTAAAGTATTTTAACATCTTTTTACATCCATAACTATGATAATCTCAGCAGACACATCCACTAAATCTCATGGCTATGAGATTATACCTCAGACCAAACCTTATTTCAGGAGCACTTATCATCATCAGATTCACTTGCTGAGGCAGCTGAACATGCAAATAATGTTCTAATCTACCTTCTGCTTTCATTCAAGAGGTCTGGTCAGGGACAGGAGGAAAGGAAATCAATAAAAAGTAACTCCCTCCAAAAGAGAAAAAAAATTAAAATGTGTCTAGATTATTTTCTTGGCTTGGTTAGCTGATTCACCAAACCAGTAACAAACAATAACAACAACAACAAAAACCCCTGTAGGATTAACTCTGTAAATAATACATGTATATGTAAAGAACAAAATTTCCAAGTTCTATCATTTCAATTCCACCTGCAAGCATGTACACACAAATACATATGTATATAGAATATAAACATATATATCAACTTGCAAGTTGTATCCCCCAAACATGTCAAGAACTTTGTAAGCAAAGACATGTGAAGTCCAACTCCCCCAAAATGTATTTCTTACTATTGTGAGGATTCATGAAGTTAGTAACCCTTCCTGTGAAGCAGAAGAATAAACTCCAGCAGCCTAGCAGTCAGCTGCTATGAAGCAGTCTGAAAATAATGGATATAAAACACATAATCAGATTCTTAACACCTTGTGTCTGCTTACCTACCAGTGTACAGAATTACAAGAGCACCTGTATGAGAGTAAAAGTATCTTACAAAAAAAATAGAGAACACATTGATGTTACAATACTACAATACAGTCATAGATCTAAAATAAACCTGCAAGTTTTTAAAATGGGTTATAGAACCTGTATTTATTTTTTCTTTAGCTGCTAGCATTGCAACTGCTAAACATCTGCAAGAGCATGTTGCAGGATGCAGCACATTCATCAGTCATTCACAACTTGAGTTAAAAAACCCCCCACGTTTTAATACAGAGAAAAAAAAAAATCAATTTTAATGATATTCCTCTCTTCCCCCTCCTAAATCTTGTATAATTGCAGACCTTTAATTGATGATGTGCATGAAGGATTTCAGTAGCTCCCAACAACCACAGCACAGAAATCTGAAAAAACCAATTAACAATAAGCAATAATAAAGCTTGATCGTTCCCCCATTCAAAGTCATACACAATCCCCCTGCCCTCATCAGTGGAAACAGGTCCAGTTGCTTTCACTCGGCCTGCTTTAATAAAATGCTCTACATGAAAAATCATTGTTGCACCATGCTGAGTGGATTAATCCCACACAAAACAGCCTGATCCTACTCTCACAGCATAGCTTTGAAATTGATTTTAATTTTAAAAGGGAAAAACATATGCCTAAGTAATTCTTAATAAAACATCTTTGGAGGTCTCTCACCTACAATCAGGTTAGCAGAACACATTTCTAGATATAAATTTCAAAATCAGCCTAATGAATACGAGACAATTAAAAAAATACTGGTTTTCTAGTATGTATAACTAACACTTAAAAATATAATGCATTGCAAAATTAAACATTATTTTAAATTAATGAAGAAAAGTAACCAGAGTAAGTGGATACAAACTACTACAAATCAGAGTAGCTTCTACAATGCTAACAACAGCCACATCAAGATTAGTAGAAATGTGAGTTAAACTTGAGGCTGGAATTATCTCTGACTAACTGCTCCTCTATCAAACACAGTCCTGCTGTGATGCATATTGCAGTTCAGATGACAAGAGATGCAATATCATGCACCACTTTCAACACTCAAAAGTATACATCATACAGATTGCAAAAAAAAATTAATTATTTGACATAATCTAAATACTTGTACTCATTACTCCAGTTGTAACTATGTTGCAGTACGTAACTCAATTGTTTCAATTAACTTTTCACAACCTCAGATTTTTCAGGCAGATGACAACTTCTGCTGTCTTGTTCAGTAAATCTGTAAAGCAACACAGAAGATAACAACAGCCCATGACAGCTTATTTTTCAAAACAAATATGATCTTCTCAACCAACCGAGGAATACAGGCAAGTTCTAACCAGGGAGAGGGAATACCTAGGAAATTTGAAGTGGTACCTGGCAGATCAGCTGTTTTATCATTTTTGAAGTATCTTTACAGCCCTTCTCTGGCATGTAGCAACTACCGGTCCTCCTGTAACTCCTTTGACTACCCTAATAGCATGCCTAAGAAGACAACGCTGAAAACACGTAGGTGTTGGCATAAGGAATCGTTCTTTTGTTCTCTGCTGTTGAGGGAGCACCACCTTTGTCATGCGGCGCAGCAGCGTGCTCCAGTGAGCACCCACTTGGCTTCAGCTGCCTCCCCGTGACAGCCGGCCCCTGCTCAGCACTCACAGAAAACACAGCCACAGCTCACCCATCGCTAGTCTGACGCCTTGTGATTCCGTATTCATATATATGTATATGTATATACGTGTGAAACGTGGTTCGTGAGTTCAGCAGCCTCGAAGAACGGTGAGTTTGGTTCAGAGGTGAACAGCGTCTGGCGCGTTTCATCACTGAGCTTCCACATCCTGGCAGCCCCAGGAGTGCTCCGATACTCGGCACGGACCGCTCACTGATACCATCTGCACTGGCCACGCCGAGCTCTGCTCAGCCCCGTGCCCCGGGCTGCCCTCTCCAAGAACTGTCCCTTCCCACCTGAGGCCCCATGCTGAGCCCGCCGCCGCTCCCGGCCGCGCAGGGACCCAGCGCGGGCATCGCTGTGACGAGCGGCCCTGCGGCGGGGGCACGGACAAACTCTCCTGCCGGGACCACGTCCCGCCGCCGCCGCTCTTCTCGCCGAGCTCCCGTGACGGGGATGGACAGGACCCCGCCGCGCCCCGATCCGCACAGGTGCCGGAGGGCCCTTCTCCCCCGCCCGCCGCGGCCGGCGCAGGTGGCAGGACGGCTGCGCCCATTCCCGGGCAGACCTCGCCTCCTAGTGCCCGCGCCGGGCCGCGCTGCAGGCAGCGGGAACGGTGTGCCGGCTGCCTCTCGAACCCCTCCACCTTCCTGCATAGGGCCCGCTACGTGACCGGCCGAGGGGCAGGGATAGCGCAAGGGCCCGGTGAGGCCGGCAGAGAAGCAGCGGCGGGGGAAGAGGCTCGGCTGACAAGGCTCCTCGGCTGCCCTTGGGCCCGCCCAGCCCAGCCAAGCCCGGGGCGGCGCGAGGGGCTCGGCGTTACCTTTCGAAGAGCAGGCGGATCATGAAGATGCAGAAGGCCAGGGGGAAGGCGAGGTAGAGGTCCTCCGCCTGTGGGAAGGCGGCTTCCTCCGTGCTCTGCAGGTCCGCCCAGGTGACGTTGTGCGGCAGCCAGAACCGCTCGTTCCAGAACCAGGCGAGGATCCCTGCCATCTTTGCTTTGTCTGCCGCGGCGCCCCTCGCTCCGCTCCGCCCGCGGCGAGGCGCGTGTGAGCGGCTGCCGGGAGAGAGGAGGATGGAGGCGTGTGTCAGCCCCGCAGCCGCGGATGATGCTGCCAAGCGCCGCCGTGCAGGTTCCCCGCCCGGCGGGGGCAGCGGCCGCCCCGCCTGTCACACGGCCGCGCCGGCACCCATTGGCTCCCGCCCGCGCCCGCCGCCGCTCGGGGCTCCGGAGCCGCCTTCCCCCGCCCCTTTCCCCTGCCGAAAGACCGCACCGAAGCCCGAAACCGAAGTGACGCGACCCGAGCAAGAGTGACCCCGTCCCAGGGGCGCTCACCGCGGCCGAGGCTGCCGGCAGCAGCGCTGTACCCAGCGGGCTGTACCCAGGGCCCCGCCGCCCTGGCGGCTCCGCGCCGTGTCACCCACCCGCCCTTTCGCCGCCCGGCCGGGGTCCCGGCGAGCCTGGAAGGGCTGTCGGCCCGTTGGAGTGGGCACGTGGCAGCAGTGAAAAGCCCTCTATGAATTCTGCACAGCCACGAGGGCCGGGGTCGGCTTCCGCAGTCCGCTCCCCGAGAGCGACCCTGCCGGAGCGCTGCTCCCGGCCCTGTGGGCTGAGGTGTTTAACCGGGAACGGGACTGTCCCGGTGGAAGGATTCTCAAACATTCAGTGACTTTACTCTGAACTTCACGAGTACAGCAAACAGATGTACATGTGGCATGGAAAAGCACACGACTCATCATCAACAAGATTGAGGTTAGGACTTTAGTTTTGCACGCCTGGCTAAAGAAAACCTTTCTCGTTTTACGTAGATTTTTCCCTCTGATACCTCATCTCATTGCCATGTCTTGCTGGAGATACGATGTGAGAGGAAAACTACAATTGATTCCACTAAACTTTACAGCAGGCTTTAGTATAGCTGTAGCCACAGACTGTACATGTGGTGGTCCCGGCGCACACAAAATTACTTGAAATAGTAGCTCCTGTAATATCAGTTTTTCTACCCTGCTTCAGTTTATTTTAGATTACTTCTGTTTTCTTCACTGTATTATCATACTTTTTATCAGGCTATTGAATACTGTTGAAGACACAGACCTCTGCACATGCCATACCTCAGAGTTTTATCATCCTGCTTTTATGATTTATGCTAACTTGCTCTTTTCACCCCACTGGCTCTATTTGCCCTTCCTGAAAAATTAATTGTACAGCTCCTCATGTCTGTGCTGACATTTCTGTGATGAATAAAATCATAAATCAATCACAATGTTGTGGAAAATGCCATATCAATTTAAAGGAAGCAAACAACTTCTGTATATGGAGATAATTTCCATCTAGGACATTTTAGGGAAGTTTCAGGAAATGCTTTGGCAGGGTGGCTGATGAGCCATGCAGGTAAATCTGCCAGCGAATGTTTCTGTTTTATTGATGAGACAATTTCCTAAGTGTCTGTGCTTTATTCTGATTCAGTTCTTATGATTGCTTCTTGGGGAGAGAGTACAGATACCTAGTCCTTCAAATTGTCTGGAAAAAAGTGTGAGTTCTAGCACCACTGTCTGGCCCCATCTCTTCCTTCACTTTATGACAGGATTCTTCTCTGTCGTGAGCTGTCAAAATCCAGGGCTTTGCTTTAATTTCAGTTCAGAGGGAAAGCAGAACATTAGTTGACACCCCTAATGAAGCTTTCTTCACGTAAGTTTTTCTGAGCATAAGAAAACATTTCTTCACTCAAATCATCAAGACTCCTTTTATCCAGTACCAAAAAATTGCCTATTCTTCTTCCTTCCAACTTCTCTGCCTTGTTCTCACAGTCGGATTTCACCCCTCTTCCAGCTGACCTAGATCTCCCCTAGAATTTTCCTTGGGAGCATATCTTTCAGCACATTCTCACAAATTCCTGAGCTGGCTCCTGCACATACTCACACGCCTCTCAAATCATCCAGATCACTCAATTTTCTGAATGGACGTGCATAAGTGAGTTTTAAATGGAGGCATGAGGGCACATTCTCAGAATGGCCTCATAAGCATCATCTTTGAAATCTGATTAAAAGTTCTTTAGATATCATTTTAATATCTATTCATACACAGATAACCATGTACTTAATTAATAATTGTGTTTAAGGCAAGGTATTTTTAATCAGAAAAATCGGTGTCATTACTCCACAGCTGAAGACAACCTGTCTCTTTGCAGCCTATTTCAATATTCCAATCAGTTTAGAAGTACATTCAATATTTATGTCTGTTCTCATTCCAATAAAGTAGTTATTTCCCAGTCAGACTCGCAGGTGCTGATGCTTAGCTTTGCTTATGTACACATAAAGGAAAGATCTTTGCAAAATGAACCTAGCAACAGGAATAATCTGATTATGCATAAGAGGTTAATTCCTGCTGAACAATTAGTGTGATTGACTTTTGTGTCAGACTAAAATTATGTTAGGACAGTAGATCTGTAGGTGTATCTGAAATCGAGTGACAGTTTGGAAATGTTTGGAAGAATGACCAATTAAAAGCTTTTAATTGAATTCAAACTGTTGCTGTAGCCAAGATATGACTATGGAATAAGAATGCCTGAATGTTGTTCTTTGAAGGGAGATATTGCCACAGTGTTTTTCTTTCCTGCCCCCTAAAACTGTAATATCACAAAATGGAGCCCAGTAGAACTTTAAAAACTGTGGTTTCATGTGTGGTCTCATATCTTGAAGGAACTTACTCCAAGATAGTGGTGCAACTTGGTTGTCCTAAAAGAAGGTGAAGGGCTGAAACTAAGACTGGTTACTCAAAATCCCAGCCTGGGTACTCTGTAATTACTAACAAGAGTTTGTAATAGCTAAACAGAAACAGACACACAGATTCCCCAAAAGTTACTGAACTTATGTTACCATTCCAAAAAGGAACAGAGAAGGCTGTTCACATTGCTAGTTCAAGACCTTGAGTCATATTGCTGGCCATCTGGAGGAGTTTGTCCACCAAAACAGGAAAAGCTGTAGAAAAACCTCTAGATTTTAAAGGATTGCTAAGACTTGAAAGCAATCAGCCAATTTTTTTAAAAAAAATCTCATTTAGTCTACTGTGTTTCCAGAGTATCATCATACTTGCACATAGGCAACTGTGATAAGACTCTGGACCAGTCCCTTTAATGAACTGGGTAGTATGGGTGCCAATAACACAATCCACTGAGACTACTTGTTATTCAAATCTGAACTGCATTGTTCAAAAACAGAAGAGATGGCTACTTATAAATTGATACTTATAAAAGCATTGGTGACAGTCCCATTTCCATAGGTCAGTATCATTAGACTGCTAATGATGTGCCAAGCAGAAGGGGCAAGAATTGCTTGGGTGTTGTATGACTGCTCTGTGCCCTCCTGAGGAGGATGAAGGACCATGGGCACAGAGGAAGTGGCAGTGCAAGCCATGGCAATGAGCTGTCATTCTTCTAACATCTTCTACCTGCTGGTCCCTGCAGTCTGGTGCTCCCTTATAGCTTCATATGCTACTGAAGTTTTGCCAGCTTTTCTAGCAATTTCACCTAAGAATCACACTAACAGGGCAGCAGTCTTTGTTACAAAAGCTATGTCACATCAGTCCTGACTCCTGTGGGGTTGTATTAGTCTGAAGAGACCAGTCTGGCTTTATTCAATTACCAAACAACATGCCCTGAATTCAAATCACTAGCAGAGCTCTGTGTAACAGCATTTAAAATACAGCAGTACAGAGGTGTCCCCAGGTTATATCAATTTGCAGCCTTCCAAATGTTTTATCTTGACAGACAAGCGAGTTTTGTCACTTGGAAAGACATGCCATGTTAATTAGTTTGGCTGCCATGGAAAGATACGTGGACAAATAGCCCTAGCTGAAAGAAAGCTTTACAAGCTTGGGATGGTTTTTGCGTTGTGCTGGGCTCCAATTAAAGTGAAGAGCTGAAGCAGAACTGCCCAGTGAGGATGGTTCAGAGGAGAGGAGGAAGCAGGGATTGCTTGCCTGAGTCAGTATGTCTCCATGCTTCATTTGTCTTCATTGTTCACGTTGATTTGGCTTCCTGCTCTAGATTTCTAAAGAAAGTGTGCCAAAACGTATGTCCTAATTATGAAACCATCATAGTTCACTTGATTGCAAGGTTGCTTAACTATCTGAACGTATTCTACACTGAACTAGGCCCACTCAAACTACAGTAAGACTAGTCAGAATCTTCCATACCAATTTTAAAGAAATCATCCTGAAAAAAAAACACCTTGTAGTGAGGTTTGCACAGCTCTGAGCAAAGACAGGCAGCTGGAAAAAGTGTCGGTTTCATCTTAAACTGGATACACTGTATCATACTGCAACTGGCTCTTCAGAAACATCTACTTCATGTGGCCAGGTTTGGGCTCTAGAGTCACATTAGAATTTACTTAGTAAAGGGACTTTTCACATCTGCATGACATCAAAATTGACTGTGTACTGCATGCATCTTGTTTCCCCAGCGTCCAGACACGCTTTGCGGGTCCGCAGACTTCCAGCGGCCAGGCCTTGTCTCCCATGCCCGGTGAAATCGGGGCTCGGACCAACAGCGCTGCTGTGCCCGACTTGCCAATGAACATGCAACGTGGAGCCTGTGCCAGCTTTGTGTCAGCTGTGAGGGAACAGACAATACCTGACTCCCCATGCAGTGAGAGCTCTAATCTAGCATAAAAAGTCAGCTACTGCAATGCTGACCTGTCATATCATGTACAGGGAATTCGCATTGTCAGTGTGAACTTGTGTGAGATCAGTACCTCCCATCTCGTGGCTGCAAGCTGTGTTCCAACCCTGGCAGCCTGGGAGTCATTTGCTGTCTTTTTAAGCCACAGTACTGAAAACTCCAGAAATTACTGTCAGAACTAAATTTTCTTATTTTCTAGTCATTTTCAAACAGCTTCCGAGGTAATTACGTTCCGCCCAGAGGAATATTCACCTGGTCATCTCAGATTTTTGTTCAAAGCTCATTTGACATCACTGTCACAATGTCATCTGGTAGTTG